TATGGTGAAGGCCTTGGGGTGAACTGCAGGGTCAAGGCTGAGAAAGCAGTGCAGTCATGCTGTCTGGAGGCTCAGAGAGGCTTGGAGCAGGGTCAGAGCCCGGGGTCTGGATGAAGAAAGGGTGGTCCTGGTGGGAAGATGGTAGGAAGGCTTGGCAGCGGGGCTGGGACTAGAGTGAGGCAGCTGAGGCACCTGGCAAAGGACTGAGAAAGCCCCGGACCTAGTGGAAGGCTGTGTTGGGGGCTGGGGAGGCACATTTCTTCCTTCCCTTTTGATCCCCTCTTTGCTGGGGGTAGAGGGCCCTGGGTGATTATGTCCTCCAACCCTGTCTGCCAGCTGGAGGGCTCCTGACCTCCCTGTGGGACCCTCTTCTATTCTCCATGGAGTAACCCTGACCAGAGGGAAGGCAGTGTGGCTTAGTGACCATTTCCAGTCAGAATGGTAGCTGCCAATGTGGTGTAATTTGAGGGATTCTGGGTAGACGCACATGTCCCACCATAGAGGACAGGGCTTCCTGCACCAGCTCATCCAATCAGTGGCCTCAGCCTTAGCCATTAATACACCTGCCTTCGTTAATCACCTGTCCTTCATTATTACAGGGATGCGGCAGATGCACTCTATGCAGACTTGCGCCAGCTAGAAATACTCGTGGCCGTGGAAGACGAAGACATGCCGTCAGCAGAGCAGGAGCATAGGGAGAGCTTTATGAAGCAGTTTCCTCAGGTGAAACAGGACCTTGAGGAACACATACGAAAGCTCTACGCACTTGCAGATGAGGTTGACAAGGTGCACAGGGACTGCACCATCACCCAAGTGGCGGCCTCTTCCACTGGCATTGTGTCTGGCATTCTGACCATCATTGGCCTGTCTCTGGCACCTGTGACAGCAGGGGTTAGTCTAGTGCTTTTTGCAACTGGGGTGGGACTGGGGGCAGCAGCGTCTGTGACCAGTGTGACCACTGGCATCGTGGAGTACTCAAAGAACAAGTCAGCAAAAGCCAAAGCCAGCCGCCTAGTGTCAACTGGCAGTGACACAGAGAAGGTGGTCCAGGAGGTTCTAAGTCGCATGACACCCAAAATTGCTTCCTTAGGTAGTAAGTGCATCCAATCCCTAGAAAATATTGTGAAGAATGCCGGAGCCTTCAATCTGGCCAAATTCAATCCTCTCTTAGCAGCTGAGGCCACAAGCGTCGTGCGCACGGGGACAATGTCAGCCCAATGCAGCAATCAGCTGCAGAAAGCTTTTGGAGGCACTGCTCTGGCCATAAGCAAAGGAGCCAGGGTCTTTGGTATCGCCGCTGCAGGTGTTTTCCTTCTCGTGGATGCAGTGAACATAGTGCAAGAGTCAGTGCACTTACATAAGGGCGCAAAGGGTCAGTCAGCTAGAGAGTTGAGGCAGCAGGCCCAGGAGCTGGAGAGGAGATTGGAAGAACTCACCCGCATTCACGAAAGTCTACAGGAGGACCTGACTTCATGATCCCCAGACAGAGCAGGGAGCAGGGGTGTGTGGGAGACAAAGGCATGGACTGACCTTGTTAGGAAGCATAGTAACCTCCATCTTGGGTAAAAAC